GAAGAGTCCCAGAAGGAGGTAGCACGAATTACGAAGGAATTAGTTAAGTTGAGACTTGGTATTAAGAGAGTGGATAGAGGAACGTAAAGTAAGGAGTTCCAGGATTTAGGGAGGGTTTTTGGTTCTGAGGACTTGATAAAGGAAAACACCAAGGAGGAATTGTCGTCAGGAAGTAAGATAAAGCCACTTGAACTCGGTGTACCAGAGTGAAACATGCGAACGCCTGGGGATCCCGAAGATGTATCTTATGAAGCAGTTTATTAGTTTCTTCCATCTCATTTATAACTTGGTAGATAGCCCTCCATACACCAAGCAGCCGTAGTCGAAGTGAGGGAATATAAGGGAGATTACAAGGAGCTGTCTGGTTTTTAGAGGAATACAATCACGGAATCATAGTTGTTTAAGGACAGCTATGGATTTTCCGGTAATCTGGGAGATATGGTTATTCCAGGAAAGGTTCTCGTCAAAGGTTACTCCAAGGTTTTTGACTGAAGGGAAAAAATGGATGGGATGGTTATTGAGATAAAGTAGAGGAAAGGAAAAAAAAAATTTTTTTTGCAAACCAAGGTAATTATCAATTTCTATGAAAAACTGGAACTCAAACTCAAAAATACACAATAGAAAGGTACTGAAATTACGTATTTAAGGTAGGTATGTGCTCGAGATGTTAAAGCAAATTTTTCACTAAAATGGACTAACCAAAAATGGCATTGTATAAAATAGATTTTATACATTTTAACAATTTTTTAATCTCAAAGTTAAATTAAATGATCTATAATATCATGTATGTACTTATCTTATCAAAATAGTAGTGACAGGGCTTAAATACTTAATTTTCAAAATGGCTTCCTCTAAAGTTAGTTTCCATGGAAACAAAATGAAATTATTTTTAAGCTTGAATAACAAAACTGTTATGGAATTGTTTAAAAACTATTTTATTTTCGATATGAGTCGTTAATTTCCAACATAAACCCTAATCATTATTAAAAATCTTTCAGAAAGGCGAAAAAACTATTTTTATTTTTCAATTGTGATATCAAAACCAACATTTTTTAATAAATACATTTAAGATATTCTTTATTTGTATTTAGAATATATTGCTGAAAATTACTGATTATTCTAGTAGTAATAATCTTAATATCATATTAATTAACATCACTCGCGGTTCCAGGATTTAATTTAGGGGGCTTCAGCCTGAAAGCTTTTCTTTTAATATATATAATAATAATTACTTTGGAATTAAAATAAACAAACTAACTACTTATATGAGACTGTATTTAAGTGATTCTTGAAGTCCTATTAAATGTAATTACAATAACAATAATAAATATAGAGATAACGTTTAATTTTTTTTTTGGTTCACATGATATGGTTATATTTTACCATTTATAGAGGTGACTTTAGCTCGAAAATCAAATATTTGTCAATGAATAAAATAATTTCAAGACCTGTTTTTGAACAAAAATCAGGTTGATAGATTTGTTTTGGAGAAGAAAAAGTATAAATAATTCGGGGAGAATAGAGTAATAAAAAAGTTAATTTTTGTTTACAATAAAAGCACATACGAGTGTAGTAATTACATAGGCCTAAAGGTAATGACCAATATTCAACTAAACCGGATATATCCGTACTATAAGAATAAAGACAGCCACCAAGCTGGATTCAGAAAAGGGAGGAGCACGGTAGACTAGATCTTCATCCTAAAACAAGCACGATGGGAAGTAGCTCAGGACGTCCACGCCCTATTTGTCGATTTCAAAAGAGCCAATGATTGTATGGACAGGAACTGTCTTTGGAAAATCATGACAGGAAGAGATTGAGCAGGCTTCTTAAGGAGGCAAAAGATCTATATGGACTGTAATCCCAACAGATTTTTTTTTTCTATTCATGATATTTACTACTGTATTACAAGTAAAAGTGAACAAAAGAATATAATAACATGAAATCACTTGTTGAGAAACTACCCACTGGTAGCACTCTAAAAATATATTTACAAAAGGAGATCTCGAGGCCATCTTCTTTTAAGACGCCTTGGAGGGTTTTCAGGGATCAAAAAGGAAGCAAGATTAGAAACGAGAGGGTTAGGATGGTTCTGAAGTTTGTTATGGAAGGATAGATATCTGAATTGGGCTAGGTCAGAAACATAAGGTCGTTATGGATGATTTTGTTTGTGACAAAGTAAGGAGCTATGAGGATTTAGGATTGGATACGAGAGGAATTCGATGGCTTAGTGGAGCCCCAGAGCTCAACTCCGTAAGTCCAAATAGGTCTTATTGTAGTCATGTATATGAGTCTTTTGTAATTGACTGGGAGCTTAGAGCGTTTGTCTAGTAAGTGCTGAAGTAGTCGAAAACGTCGAGCTGTTTCTTGTCGTTTCAGCCTGGTATGAGGATTCGAAGTTAGACGTTTGTCTAAGTGGAGTCCAAGGTATCGAATTTGTTCAACAGGGATAAGTGGGGTATTATTAAAGGATACTGTAGGACAAGAGGATATAGGTTTACGACGAAGGGTAAAGGTGATTTGATGGGATTTATTTCTATCCTCCAGTTTTGAAACCATTCTTCAAGGTTTGTGATGTGTGATTGAAGGATTTGGGATGCAATCGTTGGGTCGTTATTAACTGATAGGACACATGTATCATCAGCATATGTGCCCAACAGAATAAAAATAAAAGCACAATAAAATTAGTTTTCATTTAAATAAAATGGTTATTTTTTTTATACAAAAAATTTGATACATAAAAGAACACACAACTTAAATTTACTATTTTTCTGCTGAAATTGGATCGTTCTTTATATGAACTTTTTTGTAGCTCTTGAGGTCTATAATTACTTGTTTAAAAATAAAATATATTAGAATAATTTTTCTGACTTCATTAACTCAAATGTTGCCTGAATTAGAAAATTTATTAATGTACTTTTATTTTGTAATATTTTTTTTTTGATGTTACACTTGTGGAATAATATTAGCCTTGAGCCACACTGACCCAACAAACCACTTTCTAAGCTACATTCCTTTCTACATGTCATGCACTATTTCCTTACATCATAAATCTATGTATCCTATATTTTGGAAGTTATGCAACAGATCCTTTCTTTATTAGACAATAATATTGAAGAAAAAAATCTGATGCAGTGGACATCACACAACTTTTACTTACCAAATTAAATTAATTATCATGGCTAAAATTATAAAAGGTTACTACTTTATGTTTTATCAGCAGCTTGTCTCACTATAGTACGATAAAATAGTTTTTAAACAATTTTAAAATGATAATTCAATAGATAAATATATTCATATATACACTGACAGGAAGAAAAATTCCACCCACTTGATTTTTCCATGTTTTCATCTAAAAATATTTCTGTTAAGTTGTATTTGTAGACAATACTTAGTATTTATGGAATTTTATAATCTTTTTTACTTTTAATAATCAAAATGTGATTGGGTAAGAAAGATTAGAGAAAATAAAATTGAAAAACGAACCATTATTATTCTAAAAGAAATAAATTACATCATCGTTTAGTAGCGCGTGTTTCCTCCTCTTGCCTTCACTACTTCTTGAAGACGCCTCGGCATCCTATCCATCAGTCGGGAAATGTCCCTTTTCATATGGAACTCCGATGGCATTAGCTGCATATCTAATGGAACGTCCATCATCAATAAGTGCCACACCACGCCCGATATCCTCAGCACAAAGAGGCATTTTTAAACTTAATATTGAAAAAATTAAAAGCCGGAGAGTAAGAAATGTGCTGCAAGAAACGGCACTGAATTAATGATACTGAATAAACATTTTGATTCCACAGAAAGTAAACATTGGAATCTAGAATCATTTGGATTAAGGGTTATTGTCCTCTATATTAACATTGCTAATTGAAAACAAACAAAAAGATTACCTATTTATTATTAAAAACAATAGACCAATCCAAAGCAGAAATATTTTTAGATGAAAACATGAAAAAATCAAGTGGGTGGAATTATTGGCATGTCAGTGTATATATATATATATATATATATATATATATATATAAGGTTGGTCAAACTTAAAAATAATTTTAATAGATTCCATTTAGTTTTGTATTTCATAGCTTTTTTCTTTATCTAAAGAATAGAATTTCCTCTCTACTGTGTTAAATAAATGAGATTGTCATTCTATGTTTTTATTTTATTAATAAATATCTTCTCTTACAGAAATATTTAAATTGTTCATTTGGGATTTTTTGTTGCCTTTATCCTGCAGGGTCATTTGCAACATCTCTTGCTTACACTGTTATTCAATTAGATTATTTTTAAGAATTCAAAGGTTTTCTTCACAATCATTTAAGTTTTCTTAGTGACTTGACAAAGAATTGGAGGCATTTCCAATGTTTTCTTCTTTATCATTTCCTCTTCTACCGCTGAGCGGTGTGAGGAGCCTTATTGTATAACTCTCGAGTTGTTCTGCTTCTGAAAATTCTGCCACATTTTCTTCTTTATATGTTGTAAGACATCCGGGACTTCAGTAATCATTACAACCATAGTTGTTATGATTATAGATCGAGTCCTTACATTTTGATACATCAGTATACATAACTTTGTAACTCTAAACTCCTCTAAAATCAATAAAAACAGTTTCTGAGCTTCTATGGAATTTAACAAGTCTTAGATAGGTATAAATTAATATTAACATTGTAGTGGCACCAAATAGGTTGAAGAGTGTTTAGATAATGCAATGTAAATTTATAGTTTGTTAAATATTAGTTGCAGTCTCATCCTCAGAAAGCTGTCTTCCGAAATTTTGCTTTTTAATGGGTTTACTGAAAGATTTGGCAGTGAACTCAATTTTGTTACTAATACCTTGTTTTAAATAAATCAGATATTCCAAATAATAACAAGTTGAAATTTAAAATTACCAATGTGAAACATTTTTGTCATAGGTTATAATTCAATAATATCCCGTTAATATTTATTTTCAAAATAATTTAACAACAAAGGAATAGAAAGAACAAATACAAAATAGGTTCAAACAGATTATAATTGTCAACATAAAAAACCAATATTTTACAAAGCATTAAAGCTTAGCAAGTTGTTGGTTCGATAGTCTCTCCTCCTCGTATCTGTCCCCAGCCGATCAACCTGCGAAGAAAAAATAATAATAAAATAAAAGTTCAGCAGGTTATATAATAATACTATTGTTATACACAAAGTTTTCCAACTTTTTTAATACATATTCCCTTCCTATTCCAATTCCTGTCCCAAAAACAGTCAGATACCCGCTAACCTTTTATGTAAAATTACATATTATTCATAATGATGTATTTACATACAGCTCATCACTTAAATACTTACAATCAGATTCGACGTTCTTTTTTTTAAACAGAAACACAGAGTTACTGCTAAGAAGAATGTAATGTATTTTTTATTTTTTCTAAAAGTGTATATTTATATTTTACCATTGTACATAATTTTAAGTGTCTTGGCATGGTTTCAAGAGTTTTGTATATAGATTTTTTTATTTTATTTTGTATATAGTATGTATAACTAATATTTTCTTTACTTATTTATCTTTATTTTTATTTTTTGTTTGTTTTTATTTGGCCAGATATATATTTTAATTTTGTACTTTTTTGTTATTCTAAAAAAACAAAAAAACAAAGACAATCAGAATTAAGAAAAGTCATGGGGTAGAGATACGTCGACATGAGAGTAGTCTCTGCTACCTCATGCTACGCCAGCGCCCCTGGGTTCATAAGTTGAGTTCTTACACTTCTCAGCTAATCAGCTTATAATACTGTTCCCAACTTTAAAACTTCCACCTAAGAAATATCTTATTTTACCGTTTTTATTTCACCCTTTCGTGTCTAAACAAATATATTGTATTAGTTTTTATAAAAGCAGGTTTATAAACGCAAAGAAGAGGTGGAGAGGTTTTATAGCATTGTGTTCTACAGTTGTACACATCACACAAAGGTGGAGAATTCCTTATCACTCTGCTATAACAAGTTTTAAGTTAAATATTAGGGGGCGGGGTGGCCGAATAGGCTAAAGCGTGTGTAACAGCACCGCTAGTTGCCTGGCAAACGGATAACAGAGATTTGAGATGATATAAAAAGTATGAGTTCGCGTCCCGGTGCCGGAGGGGATTTTAAATTTCCCCGCCCTCACCCCCCGGCCCGGGAAAATCCCGTATAGCCTAAAAGGCGAGGTAGGGAAGAACAAAAAAAAAAAAAAAAAAAAAAAAAAAAAAAAAAAAAAAAAAAAAAAGTTAAATATGAACCTTTTTTAATTATTTGACAAGTACAATCTCAATTTTATGTGTTCTCTAGAATATTAATACTATTGTATTTCAAATATATGCCTTTTTTTCTCAATTTTATGTGTTCTCTAGAATATTAATACTATTGTATTTCAAATATGTGCCTTTTTTTCTCAATTTTATGGGTTCTCTAAAATATTAATACTAATGTATTTCAAATATATGCCTTTTTTTTCATGGAAATACCAAACTAGACAGAAAGTCGTTATATTTTAGTTCCTTATGCTAATTTGGATATTGTAACCTTTAACCAAACATCATCTTATCTAACCCTTCACATAAACTAATTTAATCTTTCTATAATAATTTAAATGTTTATTTTATAACAAAAACCCTCAGACCGCATAAATTGACCACAGCCGGGACAATAACAAATAAGTTAACATTGACGCATTGAAATTTCAGCCAAAATTTAAACCATTCGGTATTAAAAAAAGAAGTGAGGGGAAATTGTAACGGGATTCTTAATAAATTTTTTAGTTATAAGAATCATTGTCATAAGAAAATATAAATATTTTTAATTATTAGTCAATCTATTTTGTTCATCATATGATGTTGTTAGTTACATTATTTCCAGATTTAATGTAAAATAAAAAATTAACAAAGGCCCTCAGATCTCATAATCTATCGCACATTGGGCGGCCCTGTCTCAGATCAACCCATATAAGATTAGGGTAATGTATGTACTAGTGTATTTTATGTATTGTAATGTTAATAGTGTTAGGTTATGTTAAGTGTAAATAATGTAGGGTTGATTAACAGAACAGTCCCCCTAGCTCATTAGTTCTCGTCACTGGGCCAATTCAGGACAGAAATAAATAATTAATAATAGTTGATAATAATAAATGGTAGCTAAAATATGATTTTATATCAGTTTATTTTACTTACATTTTTTAGACTATACCTTTCACCTATAAATTATTTTACCTTTTTAATTTTTTATGTTAATGGTTTCTCTTACCTATTGTTATTTGGTGTTTTCTTAGCCCTGACGAAGGCCTGAACTTTGGGCCGAAATGTCAGCAAAATATTGATATTGGAGTATAATTTAATATAATATAATTTATTTATTTTTACTGAACACCGCAACCAATCTTCTCTTGAAAATTTGTAGCACTTATTTATTTCCAAAATACATTATTACTATTACTATTTGTTTGCTAACTGATATACTGGTTATCGAAATGATATTAATTTTTCACGAGGGTCAACTAGTTAGCTATTATTTTAAATACTGTTCATATAATTTTTACTCATTTGTTCTAGATTTATAACCAACCTACCTACTAAGCAGGAAGGGAAGGTTGAGATTCATTCTGTAGTTCTACTAGGAAATAAATTACAACAAACCCAAGCCGAAACAACATTACTAGACCTGAGAATGTTAAAGTTTATGCTCTGACATAGTCAGCCATCACAACCTTTTTCAAGGCATACTTATTAACAAAAATAGGTCAACAACAATCCTGGGAAACTTTTATAGAGAAACTTAACTGTTTAAAATCTATCATTATTATGATTAGTGATTTCATTATAATTTTTATCATTTTTACTAGAGGTCCTTATTCAAATGTTAATATTAAACTTATTAGATTAAATTCCTAATGTATATAACAATGAGGAATCAGTCAATAAAAATATATATTTTTTATTAAAAAAAAACACTTAATTCACAAGAAAATAGAGGCACACATTGTTTGACAATACACATAATTTTAAGAAACTATTTTCCATCCGTTTTCTGTAAAATACAGGTAAGGGCTCTCGATTAGGGAGTTGACCAAATATAAAATGATACTGATAGCAAAAGAGAGATTCTAGAGGTTGATGGCTATAACAAATAAATGAAATAGGTTCCATAGATGTCATAAGACAGCAAGCAACATAAACAAAATAATGATGAAAGAAGAAATAATATATACAAGATTGAAGTTGTGGCATACAGATGTGCCTTTGGAAATAGTTGTTAAAAGGTTATAATTACAGTCCTGGAGTCAGGCGAAAGTTTGAATATAAATTATGAAAGTGTACGTTATTTTAAGTAAAATGAACCTTGTCCACTGTTCCAGGAGCCGCTGCTTTTGAAAATGGTGGCTGATTTAAATAACATTAGGCCAGTAGCTTTAGGATCGAAAAGGGAAATTTATTGCAAAAAATGTAGAAAAAGATTTTATTTTTTTAACTTGAATATATGGGTTTAGACAAAAAAACAAAATTGCTAAAATGGGCCACTTCTTACAGCCAAAAACCATTTTTGAAAGAAGCAGATCTGGAATGGCAGACAATGTTTATTTTACTTAGAATAACAAACACTTTGTTCCTGCGATCAGGTAAATTTTTGGGTCCAGGCTCCAGGGCTTTTTGAGTAACCGACTCATTAAATGTTCAAAAGACCGTACGTACAACGGCCCACCTAAAATTGTGCTTCTATTGTAAGAAGACATATTAATTAATTTTATCATTTCTGAAGATATTATTTACCATAATTTTGTAATAAAGTAGTATGGTTTAAATAGCAATTTTCCTTTCAGAGGAGAGTTTAAACAAAATTTCATTCTCAACCAAAAAAATGCCTTAATTTAAAGGGCTCTGCTGTTTATATTAGTTTTAAAAAAAGAATTGTGTATATATTGGCAACCCATAATATTTGGTCAGCATGATTTGGAAACAAAGCTTCATCGATAAAAGTTTAAAAATACAACTCACCTCCAATGTTTCTCGACTCTCCGACTAAGGGCTATCTTCTCTCCGATCTCGGTACAGACAGGATTGGTCAAACTGATCTTGGCTAAATCAGCTCTGGATGCGGTGACTCTACCTCCTGTCGAAAGTGAGCCGATATTTACTAACAGTACTTCACTTCTCGTCAGTTTTTGAACCTGGAAAACAATGACCACATAAAGAAATTAGTATTGGGTGTTACACTATAATTATACCTTAAGCTTAAATGAAATTAAGCTTTTATAAACAATATTAATTTAGATCTTTATATGAACCATTAGGAACTTGCCCTTTATAAACATTATAGGTTATAAATAGTTGTGGAATATCACCAAACCAGACACCATTGAGGATAGAAAATTTGTTTGTTTTCAAGCATTGCTTTAAAATAAACATAAGAATGCATGTACATATAATTTTGTATGAAAAAAAAAACAAACATGTAGCTAATGTGCATCATTATGCATCAAACTATATAAAACCATATTAGAGTGTTAACAGCTCAAGATAAACATATTTATTTAAAACAATTTTGTCGATAACCTGGATACTTCCTTTTCGATTTAAAATCATTTAAATTTGATTTAAAAGCTACCTTATTTTCTTTATTTCTTTTGTTTTTGTAAAATATTTTTTCTTATTTTCTAATATGTCAGCTATATGTGTTTTCATTACTAGGAATTTCATGAGCTCTTGCACACTTAACCTTTTCTGTAAACTCATATTTATAGCCTCAACTTTTCTTTTCAGCATTACAATTTTTTTCTGACTCATCAATAAATTGGAATCAACTGTTAAAATAAATAAAATTCCAGTTTTGAACTAAATTTTAGCCAGGGTGTTATTAATTTACTTATTTAGAAAACAAGAATTACAAAATCAGAAATTCGCCACCTGCTGTTAAAGAAACAATTAGGATTTCATGCCTTTTGTCAGATTATGAGAAGTTTTCTATAAAGGAAAAAGGTAATGAATCTGTTTCGGTGAATAGATATGAGAAAGTTCAGTTAGCATAAGTCTAAATTAAAACCCACAGAATATTGTCTTTTAGTAAGATATGTTTGTTACTGAAATTTTGACCTATATTTTAGACCATCTTCACAGTCGAAGCACAGTATAATAATAACATAAATGAGAAGAATAAAGGCCCTCAGATCTCATAATCTTATCGCACACTGGGCGGCCCTGTCTCGCATCAACCCATATCAGATTAGAATAATGTGTGTTCAATATAATTATTGTACTGTGATGTTTAGAGTGTTAATCGTGCTCAGTGTAACAATGTAGGATTGATTTACCGAGCAGTCCCCCTATGCTCATTGGTTCTCGTCACTGGGCCAACCAAATTAAAGTTAATACATGATATAACCAATTTAAATAAACCTTAATTAATTGTGAATGTATCTATGCAGCCTGCTCCATTGTCAGAGGAAGCAATTTTTTTTCCTTTATACCACTGAGGAAAAGAGAATCTATATAGTCCATCAGGAGGATTTCTGGTAAAACTACTTATAACAATTTTTTACTAACAGCTTAAGTAAATTTACGCAATAATCAATGTACTAATATACACAAGTGAGAACTCACACATTGGATAGCTATCTTTTTCCCTAAACCATTCATTCAAGAAAGTGAATTTTTATTCTGAGACATTTAGTCTATTCACAACAACTATAATGAACAACGAAATGACAATTGTCTGGCATTAGAATACAATTAAAAATAAATTAATTTATTAAGTTATCTAACTCTAATATTAAAATAAAGAAAAGATACTGTAGTAAATATATGATCTTGAAGTAGACATATGAATTTAAAGATAAAAACGTCTGCCAAATAAGGTCAGTATAGCTTCCTCACAGTTCTCATCTATATTACAAGGTCTAACATTTTTCGTGTAAGAATAAAATCTCTGAGAGACGCCGTTTTCGAAAATTCAGTATTCCCTCAACATATATGGGTTTAATATTCACGAGTTTTGTACATTGAATACTAATATATGAAAGTTTTGTATTTGCAGATTTGATCATTCGTAATTAAAAAAAAAATTTCAGTGCATACTGAACATTAATATTAATATTACTACTGTTAGTCCAAAAGACAGTATGTAAAAATTTAATGTTTTACAGGAGAGAATAAGAACTAATTGTTTCTTTATGATTTATTAGTATAATTTCATATCTTATTGCTCTCTGCTATTTTCCAACTATTCAAAATAGAAATGGTAGGTTTTAAAAAATAATAATACGGTAAAAGTTCTATAATTTAGAAAGGAGTTGCTGTGTTTTTAGAAATTCCAAAACCAATGCGACTGAAGTTTCATTGTCATTAAAGGCTATAGACAAATTTGGGGTCTACCTGAAATGTAGTGATTACACTCCTCAAAAATATGTTTAACGGAGAGCACACAATGATATAACGGAGGCTACGGTTGGATGTAGACCATGGTTTTACCACCTATTTTTTATGTTTTAACTTATTAGGAGGGCTTTCATATCATGTCACCTGCTATCTATCTGATATCTCTATTGGCGGTACCTTGGCCAGGGAGCGTGATTGCCACTCTGGCAGATTGATCGGCAAGCTCATTGCCTACAACACCAATGTGGCTCAGAATCCAAATAAAATATACGGACCTACCCATTTCAATTTTTTAAACCTAATATCATGTTATAAGTATCCCATGGAAACCATATCACCTATGACGCATTCAGAAAAATTAACGAAATTTTTAAAACGTATTTTATTCCATCTCGATTCGTTAACTTGGAAACCATCTGAGTTTTGAAACTGGGATTTGTCATTTCTCTATGATAATTCCTTTCATTTGATACTACATTCAACAAACCTCATCGCTCCTGAGAGACGAAAAATGGATCTAAACTACTGCATCAGTGTAAATATTTTTATAAAGAATTTATAGCATAAAATAAATATTCCATTAAATAAAAGACACTAAAGAGCGAAGAGTGGTCTTCAAAATGATAAACCTTAGTAGTGTTTTTAAGGTAACGCCAAGAACTATTTTTACTGTCAAATCTGCATGTTTGATAACCAAAATAAATATTTATGCAATGACTTCAAAAATTGGGAATGTTGGATTGTGTAGTAACTGCCATGAAGATAAAAAAATGTAAAATAATTTTGATGAAGAATAAAATTTGTTTAGGGTTGATCACCCTAAATTGGTGTTACTCCCCCCCCCCTTCATGGGGTACATAAAAGACCCGTGAAGTTGGTAACATTGCAGCGACGGTGGCGCTGTATGCACCAAAAACTAGTAGCAGTAGGAGAAAATGGGCGACTAGCACGAGAAAAAGACGAATACTCTATCCTCTTCAAGACCACCTTTCTTGCTGTTCTACCATGGGAAGAGGCATGGAGTAGAACACTGAGACCTACCGGACACATGGAGGTGAGGAATTACTGCAGCCGGCCGACCACCGATACCGATCACCGTACCAGCCACATCAAGTAAACAATTGTAGAACCATTATACGCCAAACCCCCATCTTTATATACTGGTTTAAATATAATTATAATCAATTTCATACAGTCCACTTGTTCTTTCAAATACCCAATCATATGTACCATATCATAATAAAAATGAAGGTACATCCCATTCATGGTCCGACCGGTCCGGATACCAAGTTCATAGTCCACTGGACCGAGTTATTTATGATTAGTTATTTAGTCCTAATTTACATTTTATTATATAAAACATATTACCTGAGCCATCAATTAGCCATTAGCTGACAATAACTTGTAATTTTCATTCAATTTAAATATCAAAGATTTTCTAATTGTATTTTCAATATTTAATTTATTTGTCTAAGTAGAATCAGTAATTTAATAATGTATAGTATCATTATTTTCTATCTAAATACAAATATCTTGCATAGCATGATATTTAGTTAAATGGCTCTAACACTATTCACTGATTATATTATTACTACTAATCATTCCACATAACCTTCATTTGATATTGAAGTAATTTTTGTTATTTTCTTTCAATTACTACAAATTATACTAATACTGTCATTTGCTAACTATTTAATTGTTTGTTTGTTTATTTCATGAAAGTGTTTTTTGATTTTCAAATAGGCTTTTAATTACTATAAAAGGTTAATGTAAGGTGAGCTTCAACTTTTATGTCTCAAAAGGCTATAAGTATTAAATGATATAATATTTGATTCTTGATTTGATTAATTTAAATTTACCATTTAGTTAAATGATTAATATTTTCACACTATATCAAGGCTGTTCATTAGAATGGATAATAGTCATTCTACATAACCTTTATCTGATACTGAGGTAACTTTAGTTTTCTTTCTTTAAATTTTAGCTGTTCAATTTAAATCTTTCACAATATTTGCTCATTAAATATTCTTTCTGTGATGGGGTGTAATAAAATCAACTAGAAAACTTACTTATTTCTTTATTGAGTGAATATGTATAATCAAACAGGGCAAATATTTACATTCATTATTCACAATGTCATCTCAATTCACTTAAATCACAATGTATGCTCAAACTATTTCATTTCACTAATATTCTATCACAAATTATCACTGGATTCATCAAAATTATGTTGAAAAATTGTTTTCATTCTAACCTCTTGACTATATGTTTATCTCAACTGGGAACCTTCTCTATGTTATTCTCCCGCCTCGCGGTTCCCCAAAGAGGTAGTAGGCCTCTCTAGTATTCTCAGTCAAGAGCTACCAAACCTGTGACGTCACCGTGTACTATTTCTTGTGACCACAGATTTTCTTTGTTCGTTTTCAACATAATTTTTTGTGATAATCTTTTGTTTATTTTCATTCTTTAGTTGTTTGAGCATGTTTCAATTGTTTCTTCTTGTGATTTGTTTATTTTCTAATTCTTATTCACCTTTTGATTGGTTTCTTCAAAATTGTGTTGAACAATTGTTTTCATTCTAGCCTCTTGACTCTATGTTTATTTCACACTGGGAACCTTCTCTATGTTATTCTCCCGCCTCGCGGTTCCCCAAAGAGGTAGTATGCCTCTCTAGTATTCTCAGTCAAGAGCTACCAAACCTGTGACGTCACCGTGTACTATTTCTTGTGACTCACAGCCTTTCTTTGTTCGTTTTCAACATAATTTTTTGTGATAATCTTTTGTTTATTTTCATTCT